AAAGTAATTAATCCACCACAGATCTTTGTAGTTTTTGGTTTTATACTTAGATCTTTGATCCATTTTTGTGTATGGTGTGAGGTATAGGTCCTGTTTCTTTTTTTTTTTTTTTTTGCAGATGGACATCCAGTTTTGCCAGCACTGTTTGTTAAAAAGACTGCTGTTCCCCATTTAATAGACTTTGGGGCTTTGTGGAATATTAGGTGACCGTAGGTAGATGGATTTACCTCTGGGTTCTCAGTTCTGTTCCATTGATCAATGTGTCTCTCATTGTACCAGTACCAGGCTGTGCTGACTACCGTACTTGTATAGTAGGTTCTGAGGTCAGGTAGTACAAGTCCTCTTACTTTGTTCTTCTTCTTCAAAAATGTTTTACTTATCTGGGACCTCTTTCCTTTCCATTTAAAGTTAATGATTAGTTTTTCCATCTCTTTAGAGAATGCTGTTTGTATTTGGATCGGAAGTGCTTTGTATTTGTAGATTGCTTTGGGTAGAATTGATGTTTTCACAATATTGAGTCTACCTATCCATGAGCATGGTGTGTTTTTCATTTATATAGATTTCTTTGGTTTCTTGCAGTAGTGTTTGGTAGTTTTCTTTGTATAGATTTAGTCTTAAGATTTATTTTTTCAGGGGCTATTATACATGGTATTGCTTTCCTGATTTCCTTTTCATAGTTCCCTTAGTTGATGTATAGGAATCCAATTGATTTTTGTATGTTTGTCTTGAATCTTTCTATTAGTACCAGTAGTTTTCTTGTGGAGTCTTTAGGGTTCTCTATGTATAGTATCATATCATCTGCAAATAGAGACAGTTTTACCTCTTCGTTACCAATTTGGATGCCCTTTATTTCTTTTTCTTTCTTATTGCTCTAGATAGGACTTCCAGAATAAGGTTAAATAGGACTAGTGATAAAGGACATCCTTGTCTTGTTCTTGTTCTCAAAGTGAATGTTTTCAGCCTCTCTCCATTGAGAATGACGTTGGCTGTTGGTTTTGTATAGGTGCCCTTTGTTATGTTGAGGAATTTCCCTTCTATCCTATTTTAGTGAGAGTTTTTATCAGGAATGGGTGTTGGACTTTATCAAATGCCATTTCTGCATCCATTGAGATGATCGTGTTTTTCTTCTCTTTTGTTTTATTTATATGGTGGATTATGTTGATTGATTTTCTAATGTTGAACCATCCTTGCATACCTGCTATGAATCCCACTTGTTCATGGTGTATTATTATTATTTTTATATGATGCCGAATTATATTGGCTAGAATTTGTTGAGAATTTTTGCATCTATATTCATGAGAGATATTGGTCCGTAATTTTCTTTTTTGTGGTATCTTTGCCTTGTTTTGGTATCAGGGATATGCTGGCTTCATAGAATGAATTCAGAAGTATCTCTTCTTTTTCTATGCTCTGAAATAATTTGAGTAGTACTAGTACAAGCTCAACTCTGAATGTTTGGTTGAATTCTCCAATGAAGCCATCTGGACCAGGATTTTTTTGTTGTTGTTGGGAGGTTTTTTTTTTTAAATTACCTTTTCAGTCTTTTCTCTTATTATGGGTCTGTTCAGACTTTCTACCTCAGTTTGTGTTAGTTTGGGTAGGTAGTGTGTTTCTAGACATTTGTTCACTTCCTCTAGGTTTTCAAATTTGTTGGAGTACAGTTTTTCATAGTGCTCTGTTATCATCCTTTTTATTTCAGTTGGCTTTGTTGTAATGTCCCCTATTTCATTTCTTATTTGGGTTATTTACTTCCTCTCCTGTTTTTCTTTTGTCAGTTTGGTTTACTTTCTTGATGGTGTCCTTTGAAGGACAATTTTTTTTTTTTTTTGGATGAAGTCTAATTTATCGGTTTTTTCTTTCCTTGCTTGTGCTTTTGATGTCATATCTAAGAAATCATTGCTTAATCCAAGGTCACAAAAATTTACACCTGTTTTCTTCCAAGATTTTTATAGTTTTAGCTCTTAAATTTAGGTCTTTGACTAAAAAGGAGTACGAGAAAACTTCTTCAGGTAATAGAAATATTTACTGATTGTGATGGTAGTTACATTGGTATGTGCATTTATCAAAGCAAATGGAACTGTACATTTAAAAATTTATGCATTTTATTGTGTGTGAATTATACCTCGATAATGTTGACTTTTAAAAACAAAACAATGAGCTGTTGCTGTTTAAAAAAATATAGGTCTTTGATCCATTTTGAGTTAATTTTTGTATGTGTTGTGAGGTGGGGGTCCAAATTCATTCTTTTGCATATGCCTATCTAGTTGTCCCAGCACCATTTGTTGAAGAGACTATTCTTTCTCCATTGAAGTGTCTTGGCACCCTTGTCAAAATTTAACTGACCATGCATGTAAAGATTTATTTCTGGACCCTCAGTTCTATTCCATTGATCTATGTATCTATCTTATGCCAATAAACACTGCCTTGGTTATTATAACTCTGTAGTAAGTAAGTGCAAGTCTTTCAAATTTGTTTTACCTTTTTAAGATTGTCTTGGCTAGTCTTGGTGCCTTGAGTCTCCCTATGAATTTTAAGATTTGCTGGTCAATTTTTGCAAAGAAGCCATCTGAGATTTTGATAGAAATTAGATTGACTCCATAGGCCAGTTTGGGGAGTATTGCCATTTTAATAATATTAACTCCGCCCATCCATGAACATGGGATGTCTTTCCACTTATTTAGGTCTTCTTTAATTTCTTTCAGCAGTGTTTTTAGTTTCCAGAGTATATATTTTGCACTTTTTTGCTAAATTTACTCCTAAGTATTTAATTATTTTTTTATGCTATTTTAAATATTATTTTCTTAATTTCATTTTTGGTTTACTTATTGCTACTGTACTAAACACATTTTAGTATAGTACATTTACTAAATGCAATGATTTTTGTATACTGATCTTGTATCCTGCAAACTTGTTGGACTCATTTATTAGTTCAAATCATTTTTTAAATAGATTTCTTGGGATTTTTTTATATACATGATTATGTCATTTGAAAGTAGAGATAGTTTTATTTCTTCCTTTCCAATCTGAATTTCTTTCTTCTCATTTTGTGGCTAATTTCCCTGGCTAGAACTTACAGTACAATGTTGAATAGAATTGCTGAGAGCAGGCATTCTTGTCTTATTTCTGATCTTAGGGCAAAAGTACTCAGTCATTCCCCATTAAGTATTGTGTTAGCTGTGTTTTTTTCATAAATGACCTTTATCAAGTCGAGGAAGTTTTCTTCTATTCCTAGTTTGTTGAGATAGATTTTTATCATGAAAGAGTGTTATATTTTGTCAAATGCTGTTTTAGTGTCTATTAGATGATCATGTAGTTTTTGCCCTTTATTCTAATTGATGTAGTGTATTACATTGATTTTCAGATGTTAAACCAACCTTGCATCTCTGAGATAAATTTAACTTAATTATGATATATAATTCTTTATCATATATTGTTTGATTTGCTTTGCTACTATTTTTTGAGGCTTTTTGCATCTATATTCATACAAGATCCTGGTCTGTAGTTTTCTTTTCTTGGGATGTCTTTGTCTGGTTTCAGTATCAGGGTAATACTGACCTCATAGAATGACTTGAGAAATGTTCTCTTCTCTTCTATTTTAGGAATAGATGATAAATAATTAGTGTTAATTCTTTAAATGTTTGGTAGAATTCACCAGTGAAGCCATCTGGTCCCAAAGTTTTCTTTATGGCTAGTTATTTTTTACTAACTCAATCTCTTTACTTATTATGTGTCTGTTAAAATTTTGTATTTCTTCTTGAGTCAGTTTCAGTAGTTTGTGTCTTTCTAGAAACCTGTCCAATTCATCTAAGTTATATAATTTGTTGGCATACAGCTGTTCATAATAGTCACTTAAAATTATCTTTGTAAGATTGGTCGTAATGAGGGAATATGGTATTAAGTGGCCTACTTGAAGATCTAAATATAGTTTGAAGTCTCATGCTTTACTGCAAAAAAAAGTCACATGAATATATATATTTTAATATAAAAATACTATTTAGCATTATTTACTGGCGATTTGAACCCACTCAGAGGTGCCTTAGAAGACAGGCCTGGTGATCTACTTCTGAAAGATCACACACGGGGTGGCCATGAATAGGAATTGATTCAACGGCAACTAAAAACAACCAGCTTTGAGTAAAGCTGAAGTGTCAGAAAGTTCCTTATAGTTGCCCTGTTGTTTCACCACCTCACCCTCTAGGCAGGACCTGGGTGCCCCAGTTTGGGATGCAGCATACATGACAAGATAAATTCTTCTCAGGCAGAGTTTCCCATCCTTTCTCAGCTGCCTCTAACTATGCTAAGGTCCTAAGTTGAATGACCAAGGCTCCACAGTAGGCTCACATACTGAAGAAGCAGGTCCAGAGAGTAAACCGGTTTCATAGATCAATCCATAAAGCTTTCCTGTAGTCTCATGTAGGTGAATGATTATTTTGTAAGTATGTGTATGTGTGTGTGTGTGTGTGTGTGTGTGCGTGTGTGTGCTGTAGATGGCAGTGCAGTGCAAGAACACACACTTATTGGTCTTTTTATCTCTGGAACAACAATAACAGCAAAAACAAAACAGCCAACATGAAAATCTTTTCCCAAATGAAGACGAGAGAAGAATATTTCCAACAGAGCTATATTTCAGATTATTTACTTTAATGCAAGTCCTGTTTCCTTCAATTTCAACACATGAGACCTTAGCCAATATTCAGATATTCCCTGCTATGAAAAAGAAAATAAAACCCCCAAATTTAACTGTGTTTTTATAATAAACTGGTGGTCTTTGGCATGTACGCTAAACACTGCGGTGTTCACATAAACCTGAGATGGAAATGATATTTTAATGGATACATTAACTGTAACATTTCCCAAAACCCTTAAAACTAATCACTTGAGTTAATCATAAATTAATCACTCAGATTTAGTTCCTACTGAAAATAATATTATTAATTCACGTGTTAAATTTATCATAATAAATCATAAATATGCTGACTCCCCTTCTTTATTTTTCTCAGAAAAACTGTTCTTGAAATCCACCTGCTATTTAGTGATTCACATATTTGGATCAGACATCATAAAACTGTGAGTATGTCTGAGCACATAAACGTGATTCAATTGCTAGGGCCTGGGAGGAAACAAGAAAACTGGGAGGCAGGAGGCTTTGTTTTCAGCTTGATGTACTTACTGGACAAGGGCTTGAGCTGTTATTCCAGTTCTTGTTAATAGTGGAAAAATAGAAACCTGATTCAGATCCTTTGTCACTCCAGGCAAAGGCTCCCTTTAAGTTACACTGTGGCAATTTGGCTCAATTTCTCTCCAAGAGCCTTTCAGAAGGAACATCACAAGTAATACAGAAACAAAATTACTCTTCCCCTATCTATTAGCCAAACACCAACATAGACCCTTTCTCATGAACTCCCCAACGTACCCAAGCCCTTTCCTCACTCCCATCTCTGAATTTCCAGCCTGTGCTCTTTGTAGGTTCTCCTCTCCTCTCCCTTTCCCTCCCTTCCTCCCTCCCCTCCTCTCCTTTCTTCTCCTCCCGCCTTATTTTCTGGTTTCCCAGTTCCCCATTCCCAGTCCTGGCCTCTTGGTGTCCTGTAGGTGAGCCATTACTGTCATCTGTCTACTTGCTTTCTGCACTTTATCTTTCATCTTTTTTGAGCTTGAGGGCACAGAATTGTATAAATCATATTTCTCAGTTCATGACAGTCTCATCGATGATCCGTACGTGGATTTCTTATACTTATTACTTAGTTATTTCCTCTTGAACAATATAATAAGCTTCCAAACTCAATACTCAAAACAAAGTTTAGGACCTTGATAATAACTTATTCTAACCATGTAGTCGCTTGATTTCATTTCCATGCTTTTCCTCACCCAAGTAATCATCATCCAAAATTCCATCTTCATCCTTATATGTGTGTATATTCCTTAAAAGTATATATTTTTAATTTATGAGTAGGGTATCATATTTTATATAACATTTTGGGACTTGCCACTGAAATTTATATGTCCAGGATTTCTCCATGCATTTGTGTCTCTGTAGTTCCTTTGTTCTGACTGTATATAATATTCCACTGTGTCTCTACCAGAGTTTATTCATTCACTCTCCCTTTAATGGGTGTTTAGGTTATTTTCTGGTTTTCCCTCTTGTGAAAAGCGCTGTTATAAACATTCTTAATATGGTCCCTGCTGTTTACGCCATTTGCCTTAGTCAGAGGGGTTCAGAAGAAGGTAGCCTGGAATCACAGAATGTTAAAGATAGAAGAAATTTAAATCATAAAGGCCAGGGACATGATCAATGCTCTGTCATTCTGTGCACCTGCCGCTATTAATATTGACCTCACTCTATTATGGTCCTGGACTCTAAGTGTTTGGAAAGCACTGAGCTTTGTCTTCTTAGAGAATACCTCTGTTATTGCCACTGCCTTTTAACTGGACTCCCTGCCTTCAGGCTTATCTGTTGCCCTGTAATTGCATAATCCACATTATAGCTAGCAAAGTCTCTTTATTTTTTCCTTGCTAATTTTTTAAATCGTGGTAAATATATATGTAACAAAACATTTGCTGTTTCAACATTCTTCACACATATAGTCCAGTGACACTGACTTATGTCTATCACGTTGTTCAACCATCACCCTTATCTGCCAAATATCTTTTTTTGTAAATAATATTTTATTGTGTTTTAGGTGAAAGTTTACATAGTAAGTTAGGTTGCCATTTAACAATTTTTATACAAATTGTTCCATGACATTTGTTACGTTTTTCACAATGTGTCAGTATTCTCATTATTTCCCTTCTGTTTGTTCTGTTTTAATTAATCTAGCTTCCCTGCCCCTCCTTGTTTTCTCATCTTTGCTTTAGGGTAAATGTTGACTGTTTGGTCTCGTATAGTTGATATTTTAAGGGACCACAGTATTCATGGGAGATGTCATTTATTTTATAAGCCAATCTATTATTTGAAGGAAAAGTGGCCTCCGGGAGTGGCTTCAGTTCCAAGTTCAAAGAGTACCTTAGGACAATAGTTTTCAGGGTTCCCTTAGTCTCTATCGGTCCAGTAAGTCTGGCCTTTTTTTTAGGAATTTGAGTTTTGTTCTACTTTTTTCTCCCATTCTATCCAGGACCTTCTATTGTGTCCCTGGTCAGAATGGTCGGTAGTGGTAGCAGGGCAGCATCTGATTCTGGTCTCAGGCTAGCTGAAGCCATTGTTTGTGTGGGCTATTCGTCCTGTGGACTAGTTTTCTTCTTTCAGTCTTTGGTTTCCTTCATTCTCTTTTGTTCTTGATGAGTAGAGACCAATAGTTGTATCTTAGATGGCTGCTCGCAAGCTTTTAAAACCTAGAAGCGACTCACCAAACTAGCTTGTAGAACATTATCTTTATGAACTATGTCATGCCAGTTGACCTAGTTGTCCCACAAGACTATGGTCCTAAGCCTTCTAACCCAGTAAACCAATCCTGCAAGGTGTTTGGATATGTCTAGGACGACTCCATAACTCTGCCCCCTATGTGCTTTATTATATATGTGAATATACATGTAGCACACACAAACACGTATACATATGCCTACAGATACACCTATACATGCAAGTGCATGTACTCACATGTATCTTCCTATACACATATATGCATACATATCTCCCTGTGTAACCACACACACATTTTTTGGTTGTTATTACTGTTGTTGCAGAATTGAATATTGTAACATTTACCGGAATTGTCCTTTATTCTTGCATACTTCTTAGGGTCTTACTTTATCTCGGTCAGGTGGTGCAGACTTCACACATATTGGGTATTGCCTTTCCTATCACCGAAAATAACAAATGTCTACTATCCAGAAAGTGATCCCCCGCCCCTCCTCCCATCCCTGGTAACCATCAAAGAATGTTGCTTTCTATGTGTATACCTATCCTTGACTTCTTATAAAAGTGAGGCCATACAATATTTGTCCTTCTGTGATTGACTTATTTCACTCAGCATAATTTCCTCCAGCTTCATCCATGTTATAAGATGTTTTGAAGACTCATCATTATTCTTTACAGTTGCATACTATTCCATTGTGTGTATGTACCACAACTTGTTCATCCATTCATCTGCTCATGGGCACTTAGGTTGATTCCATCTTTTTGCTATTGTGAGTAATGATGCTATGAACATAAGTGTTCAGATGTCTGTGTTACTGCTCTTATTTCTCTTGGATACATACCTAGAAGTGGGATTGCTGGATGATAAAGTATTTCTATTTCTAGCTTTTTGAGGAAATGTCATACCATTTTCTATAGTGGTTATAATCTAGCAAGTATCTTTTTTAATGAAAATCTTATTATGGCACTTCCTTACATAAAATTCTTCAAAGGCTTCACACTCTTTGCAGGATTCTGTAGCCCCATACACAAGGCGCTTCATGACTGGTCCCTGAGAGCATTTCCAGACTCACCCCTTGCTGTTCCACAGCACTCCACACTCCAAACCACTTATAGTTCTCCCCACACACTAGGAGGTTTTTTGCCTTAGGACCTTTGCATGAGATGTTTCTTCTGCTTGGAGCATCCAAAACATCTACCCCAGAGAAACCCTACTTCTTGTGACCTCAGCTCCAGGGTCACTTCCTCTTTCTTGACCCATCTCCAAGCTGAGATTGACACTTCCACACCCCCTCCCATACACATGCTCTCCTGGTAGCCTGTGCAGACCCCAATCACTGCACCTACCACACTCTATAATTATCCATTTACTTTTCTGAGTCACTAACTAGATTGAAAGCTTTCTGAGATCTAAGACTTTATTTTATTCATATTTTAATTTCCAGGTACTTAGAAAAACACTGAATATGTTCATTAAAGGAAGGATGTGAGAAAAGGAGGGAGGGAGGAAGAAAGGCAGGATGGAAAGAAGGGGGGAGTGAATAAGGAAGGAAGGGAAGGAGAGACGGAGAAAACATTCCTTATCTCCAGGACCTGCTGAAATGCCTGAGCAAAGGAGGCCTTCAAGAAATGTTTGTTGAATTAATGAATTCTTAAAAAGAACAAAATTATGACTACAGATGGGCTATAACTGGACTGCTTCAAAGAAAATTATTTGAAAGTATTAAAACAGAACAAAGTAAACCTTTTAGCCTATTCAGTGAATGTGTTTACATACCTAGTACGAGCCCGCTGCTGTGGGAGGAAATGTCAGCTTGGCCAGAGAGGTTCTCTTGGGATCCAGAGAGGCAAGCAGAACATAAAGTCACAGAAGCCAAAGAGGGCAGTGCACACAGATGTCCAAAAGGGGGCGCCAGATATCAGCCACCAAGAGCAATGTGCTGGGAATAAATAGAAGGCCGCCTGGAGTAATTTGGAAACCCATTGCTCTTTTGTAGCTGCCTGTAGAGTGGGGAAGGAGCCCTGGTAGTGCAGTGGTTAAAGCGATTGACTGCTCACCAGAAAGTCGGTGGTTCGAAACAACCAGTGCTCCACGGGAGAAAGATGTAGCAATCTGCTTCTGTAGAGATTTACAGCCTTGGAAACCCTACAGGGTCACTATGAGTCGGAATCGACTTGACAGTGGATTGGTTAGTTGATAGAGTTGGGGGAGTCCCTTGGTGGTGCAAATGGTTAATTAAAGCTCTTGGCTGCTAACTGAAAGGTTAGTGGTTCAAGTCCACCCAGAGACATCTCAGAAGAAAGGCCTGGCAATCTACTTCCAAAAAATCAGTCATTGAAAACCACACAGAGCAGTTTTACTCTGACACGCATGGAGTCACCATGAGTCAGAATCAATGGCAACTGGCTTTGGTATAGAGAGGAGTGTGAAAGCCAGTTAAGCACAAGGATCAAAGAAAGAACAGATACATTACTATTCATTGCAGATGTGAACTGTACAAGAGACAGTCCCCCACCTCAAATAACTACAGGTAGGCATGGGGTCTTAAGAAGGAATGGGCCCAGCAAGCCACAGGGACGAACCCAGTCCCTGAGTAGGTGATGAGGAACGGAGGAGGTTAATTTTTTTCTTTTTAATATGACAAATTCTCATTAGCATGAGGTGGTTCACTATGAAGAAAGAGAGATGAAGTAAATGATCCCTCTTTGTTGCTAT